TCTTCTTTCATTTTCCTTGTCTGAGTTGTTCCTTCCCTTTGAATAGCTTTTTCCCTTTCACAGTATCTATTGTACCTTTCAGATTTTATTTGCTCTTTCAGGTTCTTACACCAGGGAGACAATATGAAGCTCACACATGTGGGTCGATTTATTTCACTTATAAATATGGTCTCTAGTTGCATCCATTTACCTTTAAAATCCTTGAGTTTATCTTTCTTCATAGTTGAGTAATACTTTATTGTATAAAAATAACCTCATCTTTTCTATCTATTCCTCAGTTGATGGGCATTTGGGCTGTTTCCAAGATTTATCAATGACAAATTGCACTGCTATAATCATGAGAGCTATGTTTGTTATGTGCCTAGTTTCTGTCATTTTAAGGATAAAACTAAAAATAAAATAGGACAATAATTAGGAAAGTGCAACCTAATTAAGAGAAATGAGAGAAAGGAAAGACAGGAAAGGGGTGGTCAACTGGTACTAAAGAGTTAAACTGGAGAATTAAGATCTGAAGTTCTAATGTACAGTAGGCTGAATAGGACTAATAACATATCATATACTTCAAAAAGTGAAGATAAAAGCTTTTGGATGTTTTTTCCATAGAGAAATGATAAATATTTAAAAACATGAACATGAGGCCAGCGACATAGCTCAGTGGACTAAGTGCCTACTTAGGCAAGTTCAGAGACCAGGGTTTGATCCCAGGCATCACATGCTGTACCAGCCCTGATCCCCCTGCCCAGGCACTCTGAGCTGGCCACTGAGACTGGGAATGGTAGTGCACACCTGTAATCCCAATCCTGAGGAGGCTGAGACAGGAGGATCACTATGAGTTCAAGCTGCATAGTGAGACCCTGCCCCAAATACATAAAAATGAACATAGTTCCCCTCATTTGACATTACACAATGTACAAATGCATAAAAAGATCACATGGTATATTATAAATATCTATAATTTTTATTTTTATTTAAAACAAATGTATAAAAATATTTGAAATATGCCATATATGCAATCCCAGCACTCGGGAGCCTGACACTGAAGGACTGATGCAAATTCAAGTAGTGTTTGCCTGCACTACAAAGAGAGTCCCTGTCCCCAAACGTAAAAATTGAAAATTGAAAATTTAAAACACACACACAAAAAGAACAGAAATGAAAGTAAAACTGTATTTCTTATTAAAATTACTAACAAAAATAAATTCCAAATATAGTGTAAAATGAAACACAAATATAAAATCATAAATGTTACAGCAGAAAAATTTTATGTTGAGCAATTAAAAAAATCTTTGCTACAAAAGGTGGTACATTACCTAATTAAAAAAATAAGAGAGGCTGGAGAGATAGCTCAGTAGAATAAGTGTTTGCCTGGCAAGTGCAAGGGCCTGAGTTCAATCCCTGTTCAGCCAAAAAATAAAAAATAAAAATTTTAAAGATTAGAAGTTATGGCTACATAAAAATTACAACTTTTTCATCAGAAATAAAACAAAGGTGTGTTTGTAAAGACTTTGTCCAAGCCTCCAATAATCAGCAAGACAAATAGAAAAACTATGTCAAATCTGAAACATAGGTATGAAAAGATATCCTCATCAAGATTCATTCAGAAACAATTCAGAGTACAAAGAACATATCTTTGACTTTGGGAGGATCTCATATCTAGATAATAGGACATATGGTGTCCATTACACCAAAAAATTTCCTCTGTTAAGGAGATTTCTCAGAGCTCTTTTCATATCCCCATTCCTCAGACTGTAGATAAAGGGATTTAGCATGGGTGTGACCAGACTGTACACAGCAGCCACAATGATATTTGTGTCATCAGTGTCATCAGATGAAGGGACAAAATAGAGACCCATAATTGCTCCATAGTACAAAGTAACTACAGAGAGATGAGAACCACATGTGGACAAAGCTTTGCAGATTCCCCTAATGGATGGAACTCTGAGGATGGTGGCCCCAATGTGGCCGTAAGATACCAGAATGCATACGAATGGCAGAGTAATAACCATTGATCCTACAATGAGAATAGCCAAGTCATTGATAGTGGTGTCTGAGCTGGACAGCCTAAGTAAAGCAGAGAGTTCGCAGTAGAAGTGGTAGAGTGTGTTGTCTCCATAGAAAGAGAGATGAGCTAGAAGGAGAGTGTGCACAAAAGCACTAGCAGAAGATAAGATCCAGGACAGAATTACTAGCAGAAAACAGAGGACATGGCTCATGATAATGTTGTAGTGCAGGGGATGACAGATGGCCACATACCTGTCATAGGCCATTGCGGTGAGAAGGAAGCTGTCAAGGCCACCAAATAATAAGAAAAAGAACTCCTGTGAAATGCACCCAGCATATGAAATGGATTGACTATGCGTCAGCATATTCATGAGCATCTTTGGGGCTGTGACTGATGAGAAAGAGATGTCAGTGAGCGCCAAGTGACTGAGGAAGAAGTACATAGGTGTATGAAGGTGGGAGTCCAGCCTAATGAGCAGGATGATAAGCAGGTTCCCCAGCACCGTGGTCAGGTACATAACCAGGAACAGGGCATAGTACATGACTTGCTCTTCCTTCCTAATAGGGAGTCCCAGGAGGATGAATTCAGACACATTGCTTTGATTATCTCTTCTCATGCTCTTCCTGTTATCCTGAAAAATGGGAGGCTATTGTGAGTATTGTATAATAAAAAGATTGGAGTTAATCAGTTTTGCAAATTTTGATATGCATATCTCAAGCTTTTTTGCCACAAAATATGCTAGTGACAATCCAGACAAAAGACTTTTGCCTACCTGAAACTTCACTCAACATTCTTTGAAGAAACATAAAATTTTTGAGTGACATTTAGTTCACATTCAGTTTTAACTAAGAATCTGAGAATCTGTGACAGAAATCTCAGATTAGGAAATTTGATAAAAGAAAGGTCAGCATCAGTTAATGGAAAACCAGTAAATGATCTAAAATGGTTTATTAACCTCCCACCTTTCCTCTGAAGCAGGCTTTTGCTAGCACTTTACAACCAATGATGGAAGCAAATTAAAAGAATACAATGGGTTTCTCTGAGTCTGTAAGATATTAGGATGTGGAGGCTTGGAGAATATATTTGCAGTAGGTCAATGAAGTGCTTTGAGAACAAGAGTACTCATCATAACTTAAAACATGTATGTCTATACCTTGTAGGTGAGCCATTGGGTTTTCCTTTAAGAATGTTCTTTTCCATTCAATTTTTTTAGTGTTTCATCATTTTTTCAATAGGATTTTTCATGGACTATTAAGTGTATGCATACACTGCATACACTCAACTTTTCAAGTCCCATACAGAATTTGCAGTCTTACTAGCACCAATAAGTAATACTTTCCTCTTTTTATGGTTCTTATGCTAAGTCTTCTGATAAAGACACTTAACCTACATTTTTCTAGTAGATATTCTAACATTCACATTACTTTGGTAATTATTTATCCACTTCTTCAAGTCAGTTGTTCTTAGAAATATCCACATGAACAATACAAAAGGATAGAGAAAGAGAACACTATGATTTATCTTCAAAAAGTGGAATTCACTATCTGTATATAGACTTGTTCAAGCTGGATATCTTTGCATTTAGGAGCTAAGAAGATACCTTTCTGTTTGATTTGCCATTCATTTTGAGGATAAATGAATTTTATAGTGTTTCAATTCTCTCAACTTGATTGATATTATCTTATAATCCTACATTTTTCATCCCACTATGTTAAGTATTCTGCTAGTGCCTTGTTTTTTCATGTGACAGGTTATCCACATGGTAGTACTTTTCATTTTCACATCAGTATCCATCAGTTTATCATAATGACAATGATAATTTGCTGGTTGGTGGACATTTGCTTTTTAAAAATATTTTACTGTTTCCAGCAAGATTATAATAAATAACAATTCACATGCTGTCTTTCACATTAGTTTATAGTAAATTCCTAGAAATTCAATGTGAGGGAAACTATTTCACAGTTTTGATATTCCAATTATAAGAGGCTAAGGTGAAAAGGAAGCACATTTGTATGTCTTATTTAAGATAAACCTAAATGAAGAACCTGTCACATAAAGAACTTAAATATGGTCGTCCTAGTGAAGTATTTGCACACTTGAGACTATGGCATTTGAGGAACAGAGAAAACTCAAGACTATGGACATTTTAGGACTATTTGGAGAGAATCATTAAAAAGCCAGATAATTACAAGGAATTTTGGGCTATAACAAAAATTCCCAATTCTATTCTAGAGCAATAGTACATTGAAAAAAAGTTTTTAAGTATAGCGGTGACTAAAATTTTTACACAGCTTCTTGTTTTCTAGGTAGAAATTACAGAAAATTAAGTGAATACTCAGGCATCTGAATAAAAGGCTAATGTATTTTAGGTTAAAAAAAGTACCAGCTTAAAGCTAGATTGTGAGAACATAAATAGAAGTACAGAAATTTGATATAGAATTTGAAAGAAAGCAACAATAACCAGAATTAAAGATACACAAAAGGAAATAGGTCTTTATAGTATTTTTGTTGAAATTAGATATAAAATTGGTTTCAGATAGATTATTCTAAAAAGAAAATTGCTTTGCCTTGTTATCCCAAAATTTAGCTACTCAGCTCAAGGTGAATTATTCTACACAGAGTTTTCTTTGAGACTGTGCTATGAGATGGGATCATATTAGGGATCAGTAGCACACATCATACCCACATCCATAGTCAATGACACTACTGAATGTTAATTCTGCTCCTATTCTGGTAAGTCCACATAAGCAATGAGCACAGATACCTCCAGAAACAAAGCAGGGGAAGATTCCCAATGTTCTCTAGAAGAAAAAGCTACAGAGAAACAAGTAGAGTTTCATGGGCTTAGAATTTCTTTGTCACTTGCAGAAGAGTTATCAGTTGAGAATCAAACCCAAAAGATACTTCGCAGTACATTAGTTCATGGGTCCTTAGAAATTGTGAATTCTAATTTTATGAACCATGGAAAGGACTTAAGGAGTAACCTCCCATCCCCACCTCCAAATTAGAAAGAAAACATACAGTATTTGGTTTCTTTGCCTGGCTCCCTTAGGTGTAGAATTACTTGTTCAAGAATCCATTGGAGAATTTATCTCTGGAGGAATAGTGATAACCATGGGGCAGCCATTGGGATCTTGGTGAATAACAAAGCTCTATCTTCTCAGTTTACCTTGTGGCTCAGGGTTGGTAAAAACTTAAGTGATTATTGACTTGATAATCCCAGCCATTCCAAATCCCGTTGTATTTCAAAAGCAACAGGTATACTCCAATACCTTCATTCTCTTACTAAAAGGGTGGGAAAATGTATGCATTATTATCATCAGTGTATCCAGGGGAAGGGAATATAGTTGATATTAATCTCTCTCTTGTCCAAAAGCTTTCATTTTAGCCTTTTATTGGTGCAATATTCTCATAGTACAATAAAATAAACATCCTCTACAGACTTTCCTTGCAACTATTTACAAAATGTACCCCAAATACATTCCATAGATTGCCAGTTTCCCTTCAATATTTAGTAAAAAATGAATACCATGTATTCATTACTCAAGTGAAGCTATGCTAATATGTATAAATTCTGTCATTTGGGGTCTTATATATTTAAAAATCAGTAGTTAGAATTACTATTTGAATGAGGAAACCTGTAAGATATATATATATTTTATGTATTTGGTACAGGGTCTCACTACGCAGCTCAGACTCATAGTGATCCTCTTGTTTTCAGCCTCCACAGCACTGGGATTACAGGTGTGCACCACCACTCCTGGTCTCACTGGCCAACTCAGCATGCTCAAGGGTGGGGCTGTGCAGTGTGTGGTGCAGAGGATCAACCTTGGTCCCTGCGCTTGCCGAATCAGGCACTTAGTCCACTGAGCTATCTTGCTAGCCCTCTGTAAGATATTTAGACTTCAAGAAACATTTCAATGTCATTAAAAGAAGTCAAAGACTAACAAAATTTCCCTTACCCATCAAAAAATATTGTACCACCTTCTTTCCCACATGTATACAGATAAAATTAAAATCTACTGCTCCAAGATTATTAAGTAAGACATGGAGGTGCATTCCTGTAATCTCAGCATGGTGAAGGCTGAGCCAGAAGAATCACTGTGAGTGCAATGTCAGCCTGGACTACATAGAGAGTGTAAGTTGTTGTTGAAATACATAGCAATACCATGTCTTGAAAACACAACAAAATTTCTTATTTGATTGAAAAATATTCAAAAGTATCTGTTTAAATCAACAAATTACATCATAAATTCCTCAGGTACCAGTATCATTTCTTCAGATACTTTCACATTTGTTCCATCACTTGGTCTGATTGGAAACCTCCCTTTGTAATATATTATAATTTATTAATAAAATGCAAGCAGAAATGGGTATTCCATTTCCATTTAAATATTGTAGGTGTGTGAATTCAGCAAAATAATCCAATATAGCCCAGTAGTCCATAATAGTAGTGGGTTAATGAAAAATAAATAAATAAAATGCAATCACATATACAGACTCAGAAATGGAAGAATAGGCAATCTTTATAGAAGCACAATTTGTTATAACTAAATCCTGAAAACAACCCAGATGCCCATGAACAGAAGAATAGATAACGAAGACATGGCACTTTTACACAATGGAGTATTATTCAGATATAACACAGGATAAATTTGAGTGTTTCATCAGTAAGTGGATGCAACTAGATAACATACTTTTAAGTAAAATAAATCAGACCTGCATGTGCAAACATCGTATTGTCTACTTCATATGAGAACCTGAAAGAGAAAAATGGAATCTGAAGGGTATAATAGACACTGGCAAGAGAGAATGAATTTATGCACAATATATTTAACAGACATCTACAGACTGTTTAATCAAAGATGAGTAGTATATACCTTCTTTTCAGCAGCTCACAGAATTTCCTCCAAAATACACAATATTTTAGGGTATGAGAAACTTTTCCTATGAAAAAATGAAATCATCTCATGCCTTGTATTAGATCACAACAGAATGAAATTAGAAACAAAAGACAAGAAACCACAGAAGCTACACAAACACATGGAGATTGAATAATACATTTTTGTATGGTCTTTAGATTACTGAAGAAATTGGTTGTGAAGTTAAAAGTTGCTAGAATTAAATGATGATGGAAACTCAGCATATTAGAATTCATGATATACAGTGAAAGCAATTCTAAGAGATAAATTTACAGCATTGAGTATGTTTTTGAAAAGAAACATGTCAAATAATAATGATGTGTCTCAAGATCTTGGCAAAATAAGGATAAAATAAACCCAAAATGAATAGAAGGAAAAAGAAATATCAGAGTAGCACTTAATGAAATGGAGACTTAAAGAACAGTACAAATGAACAATGCCACAGAGTCGGTACTTTGATTAGGAAGAAAAAAATTAATGAACTCTTAGCCTAATTAACCAAAAGTGAGTGAAGACTCAAATCAATGCAATTAGAGGTAAAAAGTTAATATCACAACAGATACCACTGAAGTTACTATAAACTATTTGGAGAACTTACTTTTCAATAATTAGAAAATAAAAAAGTAATCAATAAGTTTATAGATACATATCACCTACAAAACTTGAATACAGAGGATATAAAAATACAAACAGTTTA